CCTGACCCTTTTAAAGAAAGAAGCATGTATCAGTCACCGGTCACAACTCAAGATGTATGACATCAGCAGGATGCTCTCATGGCTACACGTTAAACCCCTATCCATGTCTAACAGTAATGAAAGAGATTACAGCGCAAATCCTAGATGAGCCAGAATGAAACTTAAACTTAAACCGAAGTTTGGACTATTTAGCCTTAAGTTTAATTTTTAAAATGAAATGGAAATGAAAAAAAAATAAAATGCTGCTTCCAGGCAGTTTTCAATAACTCATTTTTCTTTACTTAAAACTGCCAAGGGACTAGTTTCATTTTAGAACATATTCCCTGCAACACTCTAATTTAGCAGTAATAATATTCTCATATTCCTCAGATGCTAATTAACCATTTTAAAGGGACAGTAATGCCCATCTTTGCTTCCTCAAATATATGGGCCAATGTCACATGCTGACTGCCAGTAAAGCAAAGAGTTACATTTCACACAGGAGTTTAAATACAAAAAGAAAAGTCCTGCGCTCACTCCCATCACTCCTGGGCAGCAGCAACGACCACAGTACACATCAGCTCCAATACATACAGTAAAAAACAAAGAAAAAAAGTTACCTGCGCTCTCTCCTTAATCCCTATGTATATTTAAACAAATGGAGGTAATTTAGTTACTCCAATGGCCATTGGAAGGAATGCCCACCTGCCACCGTCAAGGCAGACCCCCCCTCCCCCCCCAGACGGGTCCTACACTGACCCTTCAGCCTGCTTCCTTGAGCTTCTGGCAAATATATCTCTAATAAGACAGAGAGGGGTATTTTTTATATACACCCCTATATACTTCTTAACCCTTACTAGGGAACACATGGGATGGGCGGCAGCAAAATACCCCTCTCTGTCTCATTGGAGATATCTTTGCCAGAAGCTCAGGGAAGCAAGGTGAAGGGTCAGTATAGGACCCGCCTAGGGGGGTCTGCCTTGACGTTGGCAGGCGGGAATTCCTTCCAATGGCCATTGGAGCAACTAAATGACCTCCATTTGTTTAAATATACACAGGGATTAAGGAGAGAGTGCAGGTAACTTTTTTTCTTTGGTTCACACAGGAGTTTGCCTGTCCTTATGGCTTCATTCTAAAGCAGGCAGACTGCCACACACATTGCACCAAAGCAGACAGACTGCCACACACATTGCACCAAAGCAGGCAGACTGCCACACACATTGCACCAAAGCAGACAGGACCTCAAACGTTTTCTCTAAACTAGAAATAGTTTTATCAATGAAGGGAGCTACCATTAAAAATATTCCTAGTACTGCATTTCCTCCAGTGTGAGCTGCTGTGTTCCCTCCAGTGTGAGTTGCTGTGTTCCCCCAGTGTGAGCTGCTGTGTTCCCCCCAGTGTGAGCTGCTGTGTTCCCTCCAGTGTGAGCTTCTGTTTTCCCCTCAGTATGAGCTGCTGTGTTCCCCCCAGTGTGAGTTGCTGTGTTCACCCCAGTGTGAGCCGATGTGTTCCCTCCAGTGTGAGCTGCTGTGTTCCCCCAGTGTGAGCTGCAGTGTTCCCTCCAGTGTGAGCTGATGTGTTCCCCCCAGTGTGAGCTGCTGTGTTCCCCCCAGTGTGAGCTGCTGTGTTCCCCCCAGTGTGAGCTGATGTGTTCCCTCCAGTGTGAGCTGATGTGTGGAGGATTCATAAAATTGAGACCGAAAAGGAAATGCTTTTGTGCCCAAAGAAAATTGGGTCAGCCTTTAATGACTATTATAGCCGATTATATAACTTAGAATCTGTAGGTCAACAACTTCCTTCATTAGAATATTTTAAAAATAAAAAAATGCCAAAAATAACTAGAGAACAACTTATGGAAATAAATAAACGATAATTTCTGATGACATTAAAGTAGCAATAAATAAGTTACAGATTAACAAAGCCCCTAGCCCGGACGGTTACTCAAATAAATTCTATAAGATATTCAGAGATACTCTTTCAGTGCGCCTTGCAAGGATATTTAATGAGATAGTGGTAAATTGTAAATTTCCTAAAGAAATGCTTCAAGCAAATATTGTCCCAATCTTGAAGCCGGACAAAGACCCAGCTAAACTGGCAAATTACCGCCCTATATCTCTCCTCAACGGAGATGTAAGGATCTATGCCTCGATCATAGCAGATCGCTTAAAAATCTGTATTCCCGCCCTGATACACCAGGACCAGGCCGGATTCATTCCTGGCAGAGCAGCTTCAGGTGGTCTAAGAAGGATATTGGATGTTCATGATGCTGCATCGAGGAAGAATGTTTACCTTCTGACCCTGTCACTGGATGCTAAGAAAGCTTTTGACAGGGTCAGATGGGATTTTCTGGGGAATGCATTGAAGTCATATGGCATAGTGGGGGCAGTCTATGACGCCATCGTGGAGTTATATACTATACCTTCCGCAAGGACGGTAGGTCCAGGAATAGATGCAGACTGGTTTAATATCACGAATGGCACTAGGCAGGACTGCCCCCTGTCCCCTTTGCTTTATGTTTTAACCATCGAGCCCCTGGCGAAAGATAAAAGGCAAAATGGGAAGATTAAGGGAACACAAAATAAAGTAGAACACAAGATCAATTTATATGCTGACGACGTCATGCTTATGTTGCAGAATCCTAGATCCTCGTTGCCGGAATTGATAAAGATACTAGGTCAGTATAGTGAATACTCAAATTACAAATTAAAAACTAATAAGACTACAATAATGACAACTGATATATCTAGTGAAGATAAGCATTTTATTAAAATATCTTACGATTTTGTCTGGGCAAAGGACAATACATGTTCCTTGGTATTAAAATACCAAGAAACATAAAAAAAGTTATAGAGATTAATTTTCTCCCTCTCATAAAATATACAAATAAGTCCCTAAATGAATGGGCTAGTAGGAAGATTTCCTGGATAGGGCGTATAAACACTATTCGCTCATACATTCTGCCCAAAGGGAATTATCTTTTTAGAATGCTATCAATACAAGTCCCAATTCCCTGGTTAAAAATGATATAGTCAGCTTTCTCTAAATTTATTTGGAAGGGGAAAAAACCCAGAATAAGTCTACATTTGTTATCTAAGAAAAAAAAAATGGGGGTCTTGCTGCCCCAACTATAATAGAATTTCACAATGCCTGTATGTTGGCACATGCTGTTAATACCTTAAGTACAGATCAAAAAGATCAAGCCTGGTACCAAATAGAGCAATCATTAGTAGAGACAGATAGTCTGTCCGCCCTATTTTGGGCAAGAAGAAAGGAGAAAAATAAGAGCAAACCAGTATGTCCAGGAAATTTGATTATTATTGACAGTATTTTGATATACCGGAATAAAATCAAGAAAGACATCAAAATAGAATACAGACTGTTTCCATTCTTACCCATAGAGGTGATTAATCCACACACAAAGTTACAGGCAGACAGTTACACACACAGTTACAGGGCAGACAGCCACACACACACACACACAGTTACACACAGACAGTCTCTCTTACACACACAAAGTTACAGGGCAGACAGTCACACACACACACACAAAGTTACAGGCAGACAGTTACACACACAGTTACAGGCAGACAGTTACACACAGACACACACACAGTTACACACAGACAGTCTCTTTTACACACACAAACAAAGTTACAGGGCAGACAGTCACACACACACACACACACACACAAAGTTACAGGCAGACAGTTACACACAGACACACACAGTTACACACAGACAGTCTCTCTTACACACACACACACAGTCACACACACAGACACACACTCTTACTTACAGACAGTAGGCTGGAGGAGGACTGGATTCCCTGAAGTCCTTTTCTGAAGCCTGTGGAGAAGCACCTCCTAACAGCAGCGGGTAGGGGCCATATTAAGCCCGCCCTGATTTTGCTTAGCTCCGCCCCACTGCGGCCAATTTATCAGCTGTTTGCTTGTGTGAGCTGTACTGGCCGCACGGCACCCTAACTACCATGGGGCACTGTGCGGCCACAGCTCACACAGCCCCCTCCAGCACCCAGACCAGGGTCATGGCACCCCCCAACCCAGTGCGGACCGCCCCTCCGCCCCCCCCTTAGTACGGCACTGGATTAAGGGGAATATTGTGGATATTAATATCAGCGGATGGTCACAGAAGGGAATTAAGAATATTCAAGAGATTATAGATAGAAAGGAAATTAAGCCATTCAACCAGCTACAAATAGAGTTCGGGATTGATAACAAGGAGATTTTATATATTACATACATTTACATATTTAAGAATCAAGTTCTATTTGGCGAAATTCTTGGACTTCCAGTTTAATAAAAACTTAAGTAATCTTAAAAAGATTCTGGAAACTCATAGAATTAAAGGCCATATTATTAGATGTTACGAGTTCTTAAAGGACTCTCAGAAGCCCTATGTCTGGAAATCTAAGATCAAGTGGGAAAAAGATCTACATATTGAAATTACTGAGCAAGATATGATAAGTGTGGTAGTTAAGGTCAATAAATCGGTACATTGTCTGAATATAGTAGAGAATTTTTATAAACTCATAAACAGATGGTATATGGTCCCAGAAAAATTGGCTAAACTTTATAAAGATCAGAATCACGTTTGTTGGAGATGTGATGATGGGAAAGGAGATTATCTCCATGTATGGTGGCAATGTAAATCTTTAAGCAATTCATGGAAGAATATCTATCAACAGATTTATAATAGCTGCCATTTATATATATACCTTTCACACCACAGAGCCCTTTGTTACATCATGGATGGCCCTCTATGCCTATTGAAAAACAGCATGTTAATAATACACATTTTAATGGCAGCTAAGATAATTCTAGCTAGGCATTGGAAAAGCAATAGAGTGGGCTGAAATTAAAAAAACAAGTAACGGACCAATGTAAAATGGAAATTGGAATAATTCAAGGAAATTCTGTTGGTTTGAGGAAAATTAGTAGATGGAAAAATATAGTTGACAAGTTTATGGCTAGTAATGAAGGTTTATAATATAGAAGGTTTGTGATGCCCCCGGTGTGTGTTTGACTCCGGAGAGAAACTAGCGAACGATGCACCCATTTGGGAAGTAAATGCATAAATGGCTAGAACAATGCTAGTTCCTCGGGACTGTATGTGTGTTTCAGTGTGAATGTTGTTTGGTGATACCTCAATTCTGCTACTTATGTAATTTATAGATACTGTAATCCTACTGCGGTTTATTTTAGCTCTGCGATATTTAAAGTTATGAAGTAATGTCTGTATAAATGCACTTTATAGACATCTGTTATTAATGGAAACACTTTTATTTGTATATTTGTATGGCTCATTGAGGTATTGTATGTATTTTGGATAATTGTAAAAATTAATTTTAGGAAAAATAAAAATATATATATAAAAAAAAGGAGGACTCCCTTTAAGATAGTGCTCTTAATATCAGCTTGTTACCTGTATAAAAACGCCTGGGAGCCAGAAATCTTGCTGATTGATGGGGATCAAAAACTTATTTCACTCGTTGACATGCAAACCAATTTATAACTTTTTTGACAGTCGTTTTTCTGGATTTTTTTTGTTATTCTGTCTCTCACTATTAAAATACACCTACCATTAAAATTAGAGACTGATCATTTCTTTGTCAGTGGGCTAACGTTCAAAATCAGCAGGGGATCAAATACTTTTCCCCATCACTGTATATGTTATGTTCTTACGAGAGTCCCTTCTTAAAAGGCATAATGTCCATGTATTAATAAGGTGTGCTAGATCACAGGTATGTACAGTTTGGGTTATTTTTATAACACATGGTTACCTTTAATGTTGAATTAGCATCATGAGTTAATAAAAGATGCACTTGTTATTAGGGTTTGCAGTCTCAGTAGTACGTGGTAGGTGCCCCCTACTCAAGCACTGCATAGAGGGTTTCTTTCCCATTATAATTGTCTCGCTGGCACAGTTCGTATTTGAAGACATTTCACGGCCCATGGCCGCTGCCTTGCAGATGTTCTTCTATCTACTTTTAGAAATGAAAATGATTTATATTGTTGTACAACATGCATGCAGCGCAGGTTGGTTCGGGGACCTCTTGGAGATCTTTCCAGGACAATCAGGATTTGGAAGGTTTTTTTGGAGTTATTACGTTTGGAGCTCAGCCTAAAATCCTTGGGATGTGCCCTAGTAGTAACACCACACTGAGCAAGTCTTTCCTATAATTCATTAGCGATACCTAGTGTTTCTAGAGCTATAGAGATGCATGGATATACTGCATCGTCAGAGAGTCCAGAAAGCAGCCAGGCACATTTCATCTCTGGGCATTAGCCGGTACCATACCACATGATATCCCAATATTACCACGCCAGGTCAGTGAAAAACATGGGACTACACTGTTGTGAAGGAGGAGGCATATATGTATGTGACTATGCCAAGCATTACAATTTTAAAAGCACGGAGGCTAAGATGAGTACCAATACCTGAAAATGCCAATAGGCTTTATTAGGAGCTCTAGGTGGTAGCACACTATTTCCTTTATACCAAGCGGTAGTTAATCAAAGCAGCACAGCTTCGGCACATTGCCAGATTAATGAGTAGTAAGTCTGAGGGGGACTCAAGGAAAGAGAGAAAATGGATTTTATAAATAAGAGGTGGAGAGTGAGAGACACACAAAGGGTACAAGGGAAATGGGTGAAGAGAGATACGAAGAGAATAAAATGATAGGAATTGGGGTGAGGGACTGCAGAGGTTAAAGGATGACAGTGGGGATTGGCCTTAGATGCAGCCTTGAGAAAGTAGAATTGAGAAGGTAGCAATGCTCCTGGATATTGCTACGTTTTAATTTTTTAATTTTAACAGTTATTCACTAAAGTGTGAATTGTTGGGAATTCAACGTGAATTTGTAGTGAATTAAATATTTTGGGTCAAAATAGCCAAACTTAAAACAGTAGACTCCAATTCAGCCAATTTGACTTAAAGGACCACTATAGTGCCAGGAAAACATACTCGTTTTCCTGGCACTCTAGTGCCCTGAGGGTGCCCCCACCCGCCCGGCTCTGGAAAGGGGAAAAGGGGTTAAACTTACCTTTTTCCAGCGCTGGGTGGGGAGCTCTCTGCCTCCGATCCTCCCCGTCGGCTGAATGCACACGCGCGGCAAGAGCTACGTGCGCATTCAGCCGGTCGCATAGGAAAGCATTATCAATGCTTTCCTATGGACGCTTGCGTGCTCTCACTGTGAGAATCACGCAAGCGCCTCTGGCGGCTGTCAATGAGACAGCCGCTAGAGGAATTGGAGGAAAGATTAACCCATTCATAAACATAGCAGTTTCTCTGAAACTGCTATGTTTATAAAAAAATGGGTTAACCCTAGCTGGACCTGGGACCCAGACCACTTCATTAAGCTGAAGTGGTCTGGGTGCCTAGAGTGGTCCTTTAACATTTTAAGTCACATTGAACAGTTTTTTGTTGTTTTTTGGGGGAGGAACTTTGTATACTTTGTTGATAAAGAGTTTGTTTTATAGCTGGTCTGTTTTAAATTATTGTGGTTTTTTATTCCTATATATTTTTACAAAAAACTCATGTTTCTCTAAGTGATGCAAAATGTGTGAACTACATAGGCACGTTACATTTTTAATATGTAATTAGACAAACCAGCAACATGTAAATGAGCTCCATTACTGTGAGTGTAAAATGTGACGTTAAATAAACCTGCATTTTTATTATTCCAGAATAATCTCACTAGTCTGTGGAACACAAAAAAAACTCCATATTTCATTTTAAATGCTTTATTTTACTCAAAAATGCCATTGTCAAAGTCTGCTCTTTTAGAAGACATCTCCCATATGGTCAGAGACCACCCACAATCAATAACATCTGTCATTCGCAATAACCATTCACTTGGATGAACCCAAACACTCGAAAGACATATTTTACCTCAAGATATCTACAAAACAGCGTCTTCTTTCAGTTCCATTGGCATTTTGTTGTTTTCATTCAGTTACAGACCAGTATAAACCATACACACTTAATCCAGATTTGTCCTGCAGGCAAGCCATTTTGTGTAGTAATGTGACTGTCCCTTAGCCATTTTTAGACAGCAAATCCCCCTTCCACCATATAACATCTCGGTATTTTATGTCCAGTACTGCCTTTAAACCATAGTAACGTTTAAATAGAAGACCACTCGGTTGTCAAGATTGAGGACTGGCCAGATGTCTCCAAATAAGTGATGTTTCTTGAGTCTCTGTACACCACGCTGAGGCCTATACTTCTATTGGAATAAACTCCAGTGTTTACACGTAGAAAAGAAGTTCTTAGAAACAGCAAGAACAAAAAATAAGTTTAGACACAGTCCATACAAATACATATTTTCGGCAATCCGCAAGAAGGAAACCAGAAGTCTAATATTTTGCTGCTTTTTCCTCTTATAAATTAAACAAATTTACAAAGCGAGGAACAAAAATTTAGAACATCAAATTCTTGCATGCATCAAACACACAGTAATAAGTAATTACCGTAGGGAAATATATCCCCACGTTTTAGTATTTACAGACAAAGAATTTCCACTTTGAGCAAGTCAAGTCTTCGGTTTTAAAAGTTAAAAAATAATAATTATTGTTTGGAATGAGACATTTTTCTTATCAGTACAAAGTCTGAGGATTATTCAACACACTCTGCATTTCTCACACCTCAATACAAGACAATGCACTTTGAACATGAGCCAATGGCAAGGAGACTATCGTAATGAAACATTGCATCATCTTATCATGTTGCACAAAGCTGAGATTTACATAACACCTCAGAAATTTGTAGGCATGGTTATTACACACTGTACACACATTAGGTGAGCCAGCAGTACTTCAAGGAGAAAATAGGCAACCAGCATTTTGCCAGAACCTGATGACCTACAAGTCAACACGACCTTCTGAAAGTAGTTGACTGATGAATCATGTGGTTGGCAGCACCCAAAACCTTTTAAATTAGTTTGCTGGAGAATTACTGGGTTAACAATCATGACCTTCTAAAAGCAGATAGCTGAAGGACTATAAGGTTGGTAGCACCCTGCTAGACCATTTAAAGGCATTTAACTGAAGCATTATGATATAGGTAATATCCCTATCAGCACCCCTCATGACCTTTTAGGGTATTTGACTAAAGGAGCATTGGTAGTACCCCATAAATTTATAAAGGCAGACAACTGGATGGATATAGGTTTGGTAGTCCCCATGACTTTCAATAGATTGCTAACTTGATTATGTCGCTACCCACTTTGATCTTCAGAAGGTAGCTACCAAGATAATAATTAGGTTGGTACCCCCTCCATGACCTTCAGAAGGTAGTAAACGTGATGATGATTGGGTGTAGCCCCTCAACAGTTAGACAAATGCAGGTTCATAGGTGGCTTACCATCATGATTGACAGTGGATCATAGAAACTGTAATTCACCAACAGTTTAAGAAATGATGGTGGATAAACTGTTTATGGATGTTTACACGTATGGTCAAGTATCTCTAACAACACAATAACATCTGCCCACACTTTAGATCAGTGGTGGGCAACCTTCGGCACTACAGACTACACTTCTTATAATGCTATTATTGCAATTGGCAACACATCAGAGGAGATGCAGTCCACAACACGTGGAGTGCCAAAGGTTGTCTACCCGTGGTATGGATATTACAGGTAGAAATTTAGGACATTTATCCCTCAGTCACAACAAAGATCATAGCTCGGTCTTGTTGGGTCAGTCATTTTTTGCCTTTGACAGAATTCCATAAAATCAGGAGATTCAAATCATAGGACAACGACAATTAGTATGTAATGGTTTGACAACCAATCTAAGCATTAACCCTTTATCGTGGGATCCACTAAAAATATACTGTCATCATGCTAAGCTGATGTAAAATCACAAAGTGGCAAAACACAAGAATGATTCTTTGCCTGGGTATTTGTGACCTAGTTCAGCAACCCAAGGGCACATAATTATTGACCGTGGTTCATTTAGAGGTCACAAAATTGTTAATAACTCATTTTGGAAAAATAAAAAAGCCTGAGGCAGAATAATAACACACAAAATAAATAAAACCATGTAAACCTTCTAAGACAATCACAAGCTATCCTAGATTACATATACCACTACAGCATTTTGAGCTAAGAAAATCTTACTTCTGACTTGTACCCCCATGCTTGAGATGTTTCAGAATACAGCTCTCCAAACGAGAAGAACTCTTCCAGGGAAACAAAAATGTTCCATTTCTAAAATGCTTAAACTACCGTACCATTCTCCCTACAGAGTTTCCTCCCAAAATGCAGTCAGATGCTTCATCCAAAACCTTAATCTAAATTAAATGAAAGGGACCAAATTCAAATCAACAAATATGTTTCTATATTGCAATCATGTTATGTTTAATTGGTTTCACAGGGTTTTTGTTGCAATTTTTTAAAAAGCTTTGAACACTTTCTGCTTTAATAAAGGCCAACCTTACTTACACACGTATGACAACAGAGGATCAATACGATAACTAGTCCCCCAATTCAATACCCAAAGGCAAAGATTGCAAGTTTTTTAAAAACGTACACATGCCTAAATCTTCCCTTAGAAATGAAGTATAAAATGACAGATCCCTTTAAATTGGGATTAAATATAAAACATCAGTGTATCGCTGCTGTTATTGTCTGGAAAATTAAATAAAAACTAGATGTAAAAAAATAAATACATATTTGAATGGATCCTTGAAATTGACAGATAATCAAATAACTAAAAAATAAATAATTTTTCACAACAAATAGAAATAAACAAAATATAAATATATGTAAAATAATACTAGCCTGAAAAGGAAAACAGCATATATTTGAGGTATCGTTAATTCACTTTATTCACTAAACACCAAGTTGCAGTAACTTGAAAAACAGAATGTCACTTATAATAGCTAAATTGTTCAATTGTTTTAAATTAATAGTTTTTCCTATAATTTGCAATTAATTTCCAGTTTGCTAAAATTCAATTCCATAGGAATTTATTGATCACACAGTGAGTTGATTGAGGTGAATTCAACATTGGATTGCAAAACAAAGACAAAATAGCCAAACTTGGAACGTATGGTTTTTTTCTACTCAACCAGTTTGATCTAAATTGTGCAATTCGGGTTAGAAGCCAGCAAATGCCCTGTTCAGTGATTAATGCCATTGTCCATCGTTTCCCAGTGTTTGCACATATCCTGAGGATTTTTTATTTAATATCCACAATGTTAGTAGTTTGGCTAAAAAACTACAAAAGATTTTATTGACATATTTGATTCACTCATTGCAGCAATACAGGACAGATAAACCATGCTTGGCCTACACCCTGCCAGGGGGTCAGGACTGCCTCGCACTAAGCGCCACATTGTAGTGAATGGCAAGTTTTAGGCCAAAATATATGATTTGGGAAAATGGCAAACATTATAGTCACAGTTTGTCTGCTTTAGTATCAATTTTACCATTCAATTGTTATTTTGGTACAATTTAATGTTTAGTAGATAAACACTGATTCACCATTGACAATAACTCATAGGTTCCTTTACAGGTTTGTCAGCCATTAATACATTATAATTATTTGCAGAATACTGATTAACCCATTCACTCCTGGAGACCTCATGCACCTTTAAATACAATAAGAGATCTGCAACATTTTTATTAAACAATAAAAAATACATTAAAAAAAAAAACCCGTGACAGGGAAACACATAAATAAATAGGCAGAAGAGTAAATCTCAATACATTTTAACCCTCTTAGTGCCACGGGGTTAATCCATTCATAGGTTTACTAGAAGAAATGTGAGATGATCTTGTGACGTCTTAAAGACACTGAAATGTCCTAACACACTGCATGTAACATACACAGAGAATGAACGCTGCACACACACACACACTGCGCACACACTGCATGTAACATACACAGAGAATGAACGCTGCACACACACACACACACACACTGCGCACACACTGCATGTAACATACACAGAGAATGAACAATGCGCACACACACACTGCACATACACTGCATGTAACATACACAGAGAATGAACGCTGCGCACACACACACTGCGCACACACTGCATGTAACATACACAGAGAATGAACAATGCGCACACACACACTGCATGTAACATACACAGAGAATGAACGCTGCGCACATACACACTGCGCACACACTGCATGTAACATACACAGAGAATGAACGCTGCGCACACACACACTGCGCACACACTGCATGTAACATACACAGAGAATGAACGCTGCGCACACACACTGCGCACACACTGCATGTAACATACACAGAGAATGAACACTGCGCACACACACTGCACATACACTGCATGTAACATACACTGAGAATGAACACTGCGCACACACTGCATGTAACATACACTGAGAATGAACACTGCACACGCACACTGCATGTAACATACACTGAGAATGAACACTGCACACGCACACTGCATGTAACATACACTGAGAATGAACACTGCACACGCACGCTGCATGTGACATACACAGAGAATGAACACTGTGCACACACACTGCATGTAACATACACAGAGAATGAACACTGCACAAACACTGCATGTAACATACACTGAGAATGAACACTGCACACGTACACTGCATGTGGCATACACTGAGAATGAACACTGCACACGAACACTGCATGTGACATACACTGAGAATGAACACTGCACACGCACACTGCATGTGACATACACTAGCTTTCCATTACTGTTGGGCCTTTTTTGTTAAAAAGTAAATGCAAGCCATCATAAGGCTTGGAAAATATAGGACAAAACAACAGAAATGTATTAATAGCAAAACATTTACACATCAGCCATGTTGTCAACCAATTTTCACCAAAATGTTTGGTTGGTAAAACTCACTGTATAAGGCAGATATTTGGGACCTGCAGCTCACATGCCCAGCCTGCCACCATCAATACTTTTTGGGTTCTATGGAGTAAGAGGCACCATGCCTTTCAAGTTCAAAATTCCCCAAACCTGGGAATTTCAGTGATGTGATTTTATAGTTTGTGCTGGAGAGAAATTCTAGAGGATGCTGCAACATAATTTTAATGAGGGATACTAATTACCAAGAACAAAAGGACATTACAGGGATACACTGGGTAAAAGCTTTAGCCAATACTGCCCCGAAGTATGCATTTTTTATCTTAACTAACAAATCGCTTGCACTGTGCGCTCCTGCTGGATTCAAATTAACATTACGGTAACTATAATCACCTCTCTAATTAGGAGTCCTTCCAGAAGATACATGTTAACGGGTAGGAAGGACAAAGCATATAAATACCGCATACAGTAACTGGAAGGGATCTGTTAAAGGGACACATAATTGCACCAATTATAAAAATCCCATTCCATTACCTACAGAGAGCACATTGCCTGTGTGATGAACTTAACAATGCTTGGTCCACAGAACAATGTATTCTTCAGTCAGTCTCTGAATGTTGATGGCGTTTATGGCATGCATTTACCATATCGCCCAGTGCAGTTATTATCAATGCATGCATTATAGCCATCCTATACAAAACCATCTCATTATCACACAAAACTCAGCATAATGTCATCTAATCCAATATATCTCAGCGGATTAGAGGGCCTTATTTGGGAAGGACTCATCCCCATGATGTTCAGCTACTTTGGCCTAATGAGTGATTCCCTTGTCAGCTCCCCTGAGGTCCCACTGTGTTTAATGGGAATACATCTGCAGGCCAGAGGGCTTATAATGTAAACACAGGGAGAGATGTAGGTCAGCTCTCTCCATGGGATTTACGGAATTCCACCAGGCAGAATTAGCACCCAGTTACACTGCATCGCTCACAGGACAGGCACTGCATGCACACACTGCATCTCTCACAGGACAGGCACTGCATGCACACACTGCATCTCTCACTGGACAGGCACTGCATGCACACACTGCATGTCTGTCTAATGCATGACAGGCACTGCATGCACACACTGCATCTCTCACTAGACAGGCACTGCATGCACACACTGCATGTCTGTCTAATGCATGACAGGCACTGCATGCACACACTGCATCTCTCACTGGACAGGCACTGCATGTCTGTCTAATGCATGACAGGCACTGCATGTATGTCCAACGCATGACAGGCACTGCATGCACACACTGCATCTCTCACTGGACAGGCACTGCATGCACACACTGCATGTCTGTCTAATGCATGACAGGCACTGCATGTATGTCCAACGCATGACAGGCACTGCATGCACACACTGCATCTCTCACTGGACAGGTACTGCATGTCTGTCTAATGCATGACAGGCACTGCATGTATGTCCAACGCATGACAGGCACTGCATGCACACACTGCATCTCTCACTGGACAGGCACTGCATGCACACACTGCATGTCTGTCTAACGCATGACAGGCACTGCATGTATGTCTTACAAATGACATGCATGGCTCACGCGAAGGGAGAGCCTCAGCCTGCACTTTAACCCTATGGATTCCCTGATTAAGACACACATGTAGGAAAACTGCATAGGAAATTGTTGGTGAATATTAAAACGTTCGTGGTGCGATGGATAAAAGAATCATTTAAACAATTGCGGCTTTTGATCTCGGCTGCTTTCTTGGTTTTAGCAGCTTGAGTCTTTGCTCCATTTACAAGACACACACATACATAGCACACGCATGTCACTCAGCTGCCACCACGTGTCACATACAATTAACTTATTCAGTCCCGCTGGATCCCTGAAAATGTTAACAGAATAAACAGGCATATATCACCAATGCTAAAGCCCAAAATGCAGGATTCAAAAGGCTGTCACTGCTTAAACACAGGTGGGACATATTATTATGCCAATTTAACATTGTGTTGGCAACCATAATGCAGGTGTTGGCAGGCATAATGCATAAGAACACAATTTGTAATTTCTCCAGCATAGGTTTAACCCTTTAGTACCTCGCATTTACAGAAAGCTCTAAGCCAGGTGTTGCTCATCCCTACAGCAACCAAACAGTTAAAAAGATACAAGACATATTAAAATAGGCAAATCTGCCCCATAATGGATTACACATGATAGTCTACAATGCAACACTACTTCAGTTCCACAGTGCCACCAAAACAGCTGTGACACTAAGGTGGCACAGAATTCAAGACAGTCTTGTTGGCCATCAATTGTTTGTTAGACCATCAAACCAAAACATGGTCAAAGAAGATTCAATGGGTCCCATGAGGGCATACCACGCTCTTTCATCCAGATGGGAATAAGTGCTACAAACTTCTTATGACCAGCAGCCTTGACCTCAAAATATTAAATGTTCTTCTTTAGAAAAGGAAAGGGGTTTTAGAATAAACAGCTGATATCTTTTTAAATAAAATCTGACCCATCCCATAGTGTGACTTACATTTCTCACAAAATAATAAAAAATAAACAAAAAGGTAATTCAGTAATACAGCAATAACACCCAGAATATACCACCATCCATCTGTATGATATACAGGTTATTACACGGATGGCCTTCCAAATGCTGGAGATTCCCACTTGTCACCCCCCTTCTGGCAGTGAGGGGTTTCTGAGATTGTACATTGATTTTTGTTTTTTTAACTTTATAACACAAATTGAACATAAAGTGAATTTGAATGCTGTCTTCTTCTGGATTGTACAATTATAGTGAAATTCTGATTAGTGGCCATGGACCATAATAGCTTTGGAATGCGTTTTTAGCAGCTGCTACCCAAATGTAGTCAAGAAAATAAATGGAGTCCAGTACTTGGAATATGAGTGAGTGAAGAGATGCAGTGAGTGTCAGGCACTTGTTGGCCTTTAATAACCCAAAATGCACACTGAATGGTGGTCAAGATGCCTTGGGTTTCCATAACTTCTATTCCAAGACAATGCACAGAAGGCCTGAAGGCCAAAGTCCTTTTTGGCTACTGGTTCATTGCTGGCTAGTAATGTTGGGTGTCAAAACTAGCCTTCAAGTGCAGCGATGGGTATCCAGGGATAGTCACCGATCTAGGACCCGAGAGAACTCATCCCTATTGCCTTCATTTTTTAGGTCAGCAAAGACCTGGGTGAAATAGTGAGGGTCCGCATTGATTCTGAGCATCTTGGCGCTCATGGCATCAATGATGCAAAGACAACGGTCCCAGAAGGCATCTTTCCCTGCTTCCACCAAGAAGGGCTTGAGTGGGTAGGAGATCTCATTGCCCATATAGGAGTAGGACAGGTAGAGGCAAGTCAGCAGAGTAGCTTGCAAGTCATGCTCGGTGGCTACCGAGTCTCCATCAATGACATCCCTGCACAGCAAGTAAACAAAGACAACATTGGCTGGGGTGACAAAGGCCTGGTCTTGCCATCCCTGGAGTAGCAAGGAGCGGTCAACACTACGAAGCCAGAGAATGGGATCTGTAGGTGACAAATGTTTCAGTCGGTAACACCTCCTGCAAAGGAATTCCCCAAGGCATTTCAGAAGCTCACTGGTGGATGCTTGTACAATGACTCTTTTAGGAGAGCCTCCATTAGTTGTACAAGAGGCCTTCTTGATGGAGGATATCTGCTTTGAGCTAAGAGGTGCAAGAGGTTGGCTGTCGTAGCTGGAGAGATTGGCACACGACAGGGATTTCTTCACATTCTCGTGGTTCAGGTGGGCAACGTCCTTTTGGTAATTGTTATTAACGGTGCCCTTTCTGGAAGTCTTCTTTTTAGTGGAGGCCACAAGCCTCTTCCAGGTGAGGGCAGGGATGAACATAGAGTGTCTCTTCAGAGTCTTATCTGGTTTCTGCCCACTCCCCTTGCTAACACTGGTATAATGGGCCAAGGACCCAGATCCATCATCATATAGGCTGGCTTTCCTAGATCCTGGTGACAGAGACAGTACAGTCCCCATACTGACGCCTGGAGAAGATATTCAGAGGGAAAGGACACTGGGTCTGTGGGAATCCTGATTTGGGTCAGAGAGCTGTTATGACCCTAATAAATACACAATGTGATTAATTAATTGCAAGCTGAGGAACAAGGATTTTCTGCCTGCATTGCGGGCTCAGTCTTCACATGTAGAACTAGCCAGATGAAGGAATTCTTACAGACAGATAAGGAGCTCTCTGCACTCAGGACCACACTCTGTCTCTTTGCACAAACATGAATCCACAAAAATGAAGGTGTTAAATAAACAGCCTGGTGGGTGCCATGATCTCATTGCCCATGATGAAGTCTCTGTAAGGGTCCAATCAGATGGCTGTGGGACGAGACAGATAAAAGGGAATGAATGGTCGGTCAGTCTATTCCTGGTCTCCTGCTCTCTCCTCCCAGGTACTGATCGCTTTATTGATCAATACTTCCACCAAGCCAGTCTTCCACTAGGATTTCTCTGCGTTGCAAACATTGTTGAGTTGTCTGTGTCTAGAAAATGAGCAAACGATGGATCCAGAAGGGACAAAGCTCAGCAGATGTGTGCAGAACAATCCAATGGTTTCAATGGTCTTCAAAATCACTGAATACTAAGATATTGATAAATCGACAATGCACCTACAGAAAGACACAGCCCACGCTCAGTGCCAGCAGACAGGGGGTCAGTCTTTGTCAAGCACAGCACAGGTTAAATCTCTGCCACCCTCTGGGAGATGGGCTGAGGATGCCTCCTCTATGCAGATGTCTCCCAGCTGCGGTGCTGCCCCTGGGCTCCAGGATTGGGGGGGCTAGGGATGCTCTGATGGCTCATATGCGAATTAACCCTTGTTGCCTGTGATGGAGGAGTCCTGCCGCATTGGGGAGGGGGCAGCCAGTGCACAGCAGAAGCAGCATCTGATGAGAGACAGGAGAGACTGGGAGGAGAGGGCAGATCCTGCTTCCCAGCTCACAGGCATCTCTTGGTGGAAGATCCAACCAGCTCCAGGCTTCAAGAAGGAAAAAAATAAATGCAATGTGATTTGCTTCTCTTCATCAGCCCCTGCCCCTCCTTCCTCTATCTACTGGATATCAGAGCAGGGTTTCCACCGCCATCTACTGGATTCTCTGCTGCATTACATATTGCCTTTGTTCCATGCTCTGGCCTTTTGTGATCAGACAAACAGACAGACAGATGTTAAATACTCCGTTTTTTTATGATGACATAGACGTTTAAAAAATCTGAGCATAAATGTCTGGCCAGTGCTTAGCAAATAAGATAGCACGATGAGATGGAACAAAAAACAAAACAAAAACAAAAACAGTTTGATTGCTATTTCCTGTCCTAACGTGTCTTATAGACTGTAAGCTCGTTTGAGCAGGGTCCTCTTCAACCTATCATTCCTGTATGTTTTCTTGTAATTGTCCTATTTATAGTTAAATCTCCCCTCTCATAATATTGTAATGAGCTACGGAATATGTTGGCGCTATATAAATGGCAATAATATTAATAAAACAACAGATAGAAAAAAGTATATAGTTACTTATACACATAAAAATAGATAGACATAGATATTTAGATTGATATACATTCAGACACAGATAAACGCAGTGATATAGACAGAGAGAAATTGATAGAGTGAGACCTAAATAATAAATTGAGAGACTGGATGGACAGACAGACAGATAGTGTATAGATAGACGGATGGATGGACAGACAGTGTATAGACAGACAGTCTGGAATAAAGTGGTCTGGGGCATGCCCCTGTTGTTTTAACCCTGCAGCTGAAACCATTGCCATTCTGCATGAACGCAATGTTTACAATGTGGGGTTAATATGCCTTTAATAGCTATCACACTGAAGACACTTCCAATGAAATAGCCCAGTTAAACTTGTCTTATTGAAGCCGTCTGATTGATGAAGCGTGGCGCACTTGGAGGTTTACAAACCATCAGTATGAAAAACTGCACATAATGTTAGTGTTGCTGCTGGAGGTATAACTCCACATCAATAGGCAGACCATGAGTAACGGGCTACTAATGTCGATTCTGTGCAAAGCATGCTGGCGATGGATGACCAATGACAGCACACAGTACCAACCTCAGCCCTGCCTCCCTGACAATCCTCCTCCTACAGCGAGGGAAAATGATATCACAGAAAGAGAACTTGGCCTTGGCGTGGACAGCAGGCAGGTTTATTTAAATCCTTTCTTTTTTGGCAACGTTCCAGCAAGGGTTACTCCATCCAAAAACAGTGTTTTGTTCAAATTGTATGTAGGCATAAACTCCTTAGTGATAAAAACACTGAGGAAAAATGGAAACTATTCAAACAAATATTAGAAAGGTACATTTCTCAGTATGTACCATTGGGTAATAAATATAAAAGAAACAAATTAAAACCAATGTGGCTTAGTAGAGAAGTAAAACGAGAGATTAAAAATAATAAAAGGGCTTTTAAAGCATTTAAATCTGACAAATCAGAGGCATCCTATATAAGATATAAGGAAGCCAATAATACTTGCAAAAAGGCAATGAAAGTGACTAAACTAGAAAATGAGAAATTGATAGCCAAAGAATGCAAAACCAACCCCCGAAATTTTTTCAAGTACATCAATTCTAAAAAAACAAAAATGAAAGTGTAGGTACACTGAAAACAGAGATGGGTCTGTTAGTTAATGAAGACCAGGAAAAGGCAGAAATTTGAAATAACTATTTTTCTTCAATATATATTAATGAAGATCCTATGGCAAGAGATAAGCAAATGATTGCTGCAACAAAGTTGCAGATTACTTGTGATTGGATAACTCGAGACAAGGTGCTACAACTATTAAAGAAAATTAATGTAAATAAAGCTCCGGTGCCTGACGGTATTCACCCACGAGTACTTAAGGAGCTAAGTAGGGAAATAAGTGAACCTCTGTATTGAATTTTTCAAGATTCTTTTGTTTCAGGTATTGTACCAGAGGATTGGAGGGAGGCAGATCTTGTTCCTATATTTAAAAAGGGTTCAAAATCCTTGCCTGGAAATTATAGACCTGTGAGCTTAACTTCTGTGACTGGGAAATTATTTGAACGGCTATTAAGGGATAATATTTAGGAATTCATTGGGAAGAACTGTGTTATTAGCAATAATCAGCATGGTTTTATGAAACATAGGTCATGTCAAACTAACCTAATTGCATTCTACGAAGAAGTAAGTAGAAGTATAGATCAGGGTGTTGCAGTGGATGTGATCTACTTGGATTTTGCCAAGGCATTTGATACAGTTCCTCACAATAGGTTAGTCTTCAAACTAAAAGAAATTGGTCTAGATGAATATTCTTGTTCTTGGGTAGAACATTGGCTTAAGGATAGAGTACAACGAGTTGTCATTAATGGCAAATTAATTTAACATTTATAAATGATCTTGAAATGGGCATTGAAAGCCATGTATCAGTGTTTGCAGATGACACAAAACTTTGTAAAGTAATAAAATGTGAGCAGGATATTGCCTTGCTGCAGAGGGATTTGGATAGATTGGGGGACTGGGCACTAAAATGGCAGATGAAATTTAACGTAGAGAAATGCAAAGTTATGCACTTCGGAGTTAAGAATGCACAAGCAATTTACACCCTAAATGGTAGTGAACTAGGGATAACCACACACGAGAAGGATTTGGGAATTGTTATAGACAACAAATTAGGCAGCAATATGCAATGTCAATCTGCCGTTGCTAAGGCCAGTAAGGTTTTGTCATGTATAAATAGGGGCAGAAATTCTCGAGATGAAAATATAATTTTGCCTCTTTATAAATCGCTAGTAAGACCACACCTTGAATATACTGTGCAATTTTGGGCACCTGTTCTAAAGAAAGATATCATGGCACTAGAAAAAGTGCAGAGACGAGCTACAAAATTGATAAAAGGAATGGAGCATTTTAGTTATGAAGAAAGGTTAAAACATTTAAATCTCTTTAGTATGGAAAAACAGTGCCTGAGAGGGGATATGATAACATTATACAAATATATTCGGGGCCAGTACAAACCATTATCTGGAAATCTATTCATAAACAGGGGTATACATAGGACACGAGGTCACACATTTAGGCTGGAAGAAAGGAGATTTCATCTAAGGCAAAGAAAAGTTTTTTTTACAGTAAGAACTATAAGGATATGGAATTATTTGCCTGAAGAGGTGGTTTTGTCAGAGTCTATACAGATGTTTAAACTGCAATTGGATAAATACTTGCAAAAACATAACATACAGGGATATCATTTCTAATTAGTGTGATCCAAGGACACATCTGACTGCTATTTTGGGGTCAAGAAGGAATTTTCTCCTAGTTTGTTGTAAAATTGGAAGCGCTTCAGACTAGGTTTTTTGCCTTCTTTTGGATCAACAGCAAAAACATATGTGAGGAAGGCTGAACTTGATGGACGCAAGTCTCTTTTCAGCTATGTAACTATGTAACTATATGTAATGTTTTCTATTTTATTTTTATTAAGATACTGCATTTGGTTGGAGTAACTCTTTACTTTCATGAACAACGCAGAACCCATATTCTCCCCCATGTCGGAATGGCATTGAGTATGTGATAGCTCTATAATCCTCACCACACATTAATTTAAAACAGAGGAAAACTTGCCACTGTCATAAGTGAAAGCAAAACGCTCCAAATATGGATTAACAAAGAGAAAAAATACAAATACTATTTTAATGAATTTGATTTGGTTTGGACTCATTAATATCATTCTTTTGCATGCTCAAATGTTTATAGTTTTTGCATAAAATAAATACATGTTTTACAGAATACTGTAACATAAGCCAGCCTTTTTAGCCACACCCCTTCACTCCAGAAAAAGATTTCCTTATTAAATGTATGTACACAGCTCAGCCACCAACAGTATTGAATGATCTAAACAACAACACAACCTTCATAATATTAGGCAGGTGTTTTTATGTTGTGCCTGTTCAATGTATATGAGGCTGTCTGTAAAAAAGGTAGAAAGGATGCGGTGGAGCAGCGTCCACTGTTAGACATGTGGCCAGAATGACATACAGCATCAGAACAACCAATACGGCAGATAACACGTTCTGGAATGGTGAATTTACTCTTAGGCAGGCATTGGTACAGAACTAAAACATCCACATAACCGATCTCTAAGTTTATTCAGGACTGAGACATAGCTTGCAGTTGTGTGGCTCCGATACATATATAGATATGGTCCCCAGGGTAGGATTTCTGGTGATAACATTTTAATATAAAATACAACGATTTTAATCCCACCTTTCTCATTTATTTGCTCATTTGCAGGACGTGCTCCTTACAATATATTCAATTACAAAAATACAAGGATTCCACAACACAATAACTAGCAGCAATCAGGTGTTAGCAATGTTACCATGTGATATTAGATCCATGAATGGCATATACAGAGCCTGAAAAACAACTGGGGGAGTAGATTGGAGAATCAAATTCTACTATTATGGGGTTACATGGCTTTTTAAAATGACTTACCCACAAACCCCGGGGGCATGAAATCTGGGTTTGATGTTCCTAATTATCTTTAATTTTCTTTTTGCTCTCACAATGACATCTCTGTATACCCTGAGCTGATCTGTTTATTCCGCTTTCTCATTCTGTCACTATTTTGGATCGGTGCCAAGGGTCTCATTTCTATATTCCAGTTGAAGGTTTAGAATGGAAACCCGTTAATTTTGTATATCTTTATTTATTGTGCCTGGGTTTCTCGAGGGTTGTAGTTTATAAATTTGTATGCATTGGCAATTATGCTGCACATCCTTGAGGCACACATTTGTCAGATAATTAAGGAAATCAGTCCATGTCTTGGTATTTACATTTCAGATCTTAATTAAGGGTATGAAATGTGTAATTGTCATGGCGCCGGAGGAATGCAATCATGTGACTGTGCCTGATCAGCTTGGCCACAACCACAGAGGGCATCCTACCTTAAGGCAGATGCGGATCTGATGGGGTTGCGTGTAGATGTGGTGTTCTAACAGATGCTGACCACCTCCTGACTAAACATGCTTACAGCCCCGCCTCCTCTATTGACATGATTGACGCAAGTGTGTGTGCGTCATTGATGCACATGCATGTTTTGACATCACAAGGCCATTTCTGACCAATCCCTGCCATCCTAGGGCTATTTAAACCCATTTTCGGTTTTAATCAGTGCCCTGTTGTGGTTTCCATTCACTGGTAAACAGAGAGTGTCTTTATCTTGTATTTCTATTTGGCTGTTCTGACTATGGCTTCTATTGACTTTTTGGTATCCTTGACCTATTGGCCTGTCTCCTCATACTTATCTAATTCTGTATCCCTGACCTTGGCTTGCATCTTACCATTCTATATTTATGTTAATTACGGCCACTCTAAGGCCCAGTGATACATATATATTTCTAATTTAAAATATATATAGTTTTACTTACACACTGACTGTTGGGTCATAGTATATCCTGACAGTAACGCAGTGTTTAACACTGATTTTTTAAAGGGACTTTTAAGGTACCAAAGGTACTATTTCTTGTGATAATTGTTGACTTACCTACAGTTTTACAAGACTGGCGTTCAGCCTTTTCCCAGCTGGAAGCTCCAGTAAGGTCAATTTCAAGATCAATATGCTCATGACAGTTTCTTTTCAAGAAACCCCTTGGCACGTGGAGACCTATTCTAGATCGTCACCATCTCAACGAGTTGATCAAAGAAAATTTATGATGACATCTCTGGCCATTATCATTCCTGTCATCAATCAAAATGTTTCGCTAGTGTATGTTGACTTAACAGACACATTTTACCACACTCCCACTTTTCCTGATCAATTCCTTTGCTTCGGCATAGGGAGCAATCACTTTCAGTTCAACCATCATCTGTCATCAACTATTGGTCTGATTCAATGCCAGTGGCATCTCAGAGTGCTGCAGTGGCTA